TGTGTGTGTGTGTGTGAGTGAGTGAGTGAATGAGTGTGTGTGAGTGAGCGAGTGAATGAGTGTGTGTGAGTGAGTGAGTGAGCGAGCGAGCGAGTGTGTGCGTGAGCGAGTGTGTGTGTGTGTCACCTCTCGGGTCCACCTGTGCCAGGTATGTTAAGGTGCAGCTGATGGGGCCGGTGTGTTGGATCAAGTATCCCGTCTGCATGGAAACGGCTCGCACCAGATCTTTCTTAGGAGGATATTTCTGAAACACAATCAATCAGTCAAGATCACACACACACACGCACGCACACATCTGTACAGGATCACAGTGACACGCTCCAGCTGTTACAGTGAACACAGACCACCATCACATCGTTAGTAACGATCAGAAGATCGTTAGCAGCAGAATCATTACTGTCCTGATGCTCACACAAACACACGTCACTGCTGAACGCTGATCGTACGGAAGAATCAATGCATGATCACAGTTCTCTGATGTCAGTTAATGTTCACATAGAATTGTAAACAAATACAATATTTAATATTTTTTTATGTCTGAAGCACGTGTGAATCAAGTCCAATCCCACTGATCCACGCGCCCGGAAGCATAAGAATAATTAGCTTTTTAATTATTATTTGTTACTAAACTGACTAAAACCAAATAAAAATTAAAGATATATAAAAAAAAAGAGAAAACATAAAAATGAAATCTAATTCAAACTATTAACATAACCTATAATAGTATATCAACGAGACTAAACTAACACAGCAGCACTCACAGCGTGTTTGACGGAGTAGTTCATGATGATGTAATCGTTGCCCATCGGCAGCCAGGAGCGCAGGGTGATGACATCACGGTTCTTCAGCGGTTTAGGACACTTCCCTAAAAGCATGAACGCTTAGCATGAGCGACACCTCATGAAACCATCAGTCAGCCGATGTTCAATCATAAACACAAAGTAAATTGCATATTTTGATTTTAAAGCCTAACTCTGCACAGTGGCAGAACTTACAGGAGTAATAGCCCACATCTGCGTTGACCGTCAGTTTGCCGATGTCAAACGTCTCGATGACATTCGCGTCCCATTTCCGCCGATACTCGATGTCATGGAGCACGTCATACATGGTCTCAGCTGGGATATCCTTACACAGCATCCGACACTGAGGAGAGAGCAGAAGAACTACATTACCCAGAATGCATCACAGGCCAGAAGGGTCCCAGTCAGAAGCAGTGTCGTTATCGTTACAGTTTTTCTCGATTGCTAAAACACTATAACCAGGCTTTTGAACTAAAATTTCAAAACCATAACGCCATTTTTCAAAAAAGCACC